AGGTGACAAGCTGAGGAAGAGCATTTCAAGAAGAGGGAACAGCCAGTGCAAAGGCCCTGGGGCACACACGTGGCACGTTTGGGGATGGAGAGGAAGCCCAGTGTGGCTGCAGGAGGCGTAGAGGGTGGGGCGTCCACAGCAAGGTAGGAGGGGTGGTGGGGAGCCCTGGGGGGGTCTCACGCCGGCATAAGGACCACGGCTCTTCATTGGAGAGAGAGAGGGAGCCCCGGGACTGAGCAGAGGAGGGATAGGAAGTGACCTACTGCAGTGGGCAGGGCAGAAGCAGGGAGAGCAGCTGGGAGGCTGTCGCTGGAACCCAGGTTCACCCCAGGTTTGGGATCTATTCAGTGTTGCTGACAGATCGGATGCAGGGTGGGAGAGAGGAGTCAGGGGTGACAAGATCGGGGACGTCGTCAATGATCCTACTGCCAACCTGTCCTTGCCTGTGAGGCCAAGGTCCAGCTTTCTGCCTTCCCTCTGTCACCCTCTCCACACCCCTGCAGCCCAGCCACCATGGAAGGTAGCCCACTCAGCCCGGCCTGGCCCCAGGGCCCCAGACCACACCCAGGTCCCACCAGGTCCCAGCAGGTGGGGGCCAGCCCCTGCAAAAGCCCCCCCCCCCCCACCTGCGTTTCACTGCCCAGGCAACAAATGCCCAGCGCCTCGAGCAGCCAATGCATTGGAGGTGGCTCCACAGGCGACAGGAAGGCCACACAGAGACTGGCCTGCCTCTGACTCAAGGGCTCACAGACCGGAAAGGCAGCAGCCTGTCACAGGCCGGGACCAGGGAGGGTTAAACTCAAGCAGCTCTGGACGTGCAAAGGACTTCCTCTGCCCCAAGGCAGGGAAGCCTTCCCCAGGGACTGAAGTGTCTCAACTGGGCCTCAAGGGATGAATGCAAGTCCAGCAGGGACAAGAGAGAAGGGACAGCTTGAGCACAGATGCGAAGCCAGGCCTGTGTTTGGGGAATCGCCGGGATCCCACGGGAGCCGCTGGGGGGTGAGGCTGGAGAGGCGAGCAGGAGCCAGATTCTGAAGCACAAAGCACCTGCCTCTTCCACGAAGGAGGCCAGGCCTTGGGGAGCCACAGAAGGGATCCGAGCTGCGGAGGCCTGCGACCGAGACTGGGTCAAGGGGGCATCGCTCAGCTGGACTGGTATGGGAAGGGTGTCAGGGTTCCAAGAGGGGGAAGCTTGAGAGGTGCCCTAAGAGGTCAGAGAGAGTGTGTCCAAAGGAGAGGACGAGGCTGGGATTCAAAATCCGGTCCCCAGAGCAATGGACAAACCTCGAGACAAAAAAGGGATGATCTGAGATCACAATAGCCGGACCCCACCCCCAATTCTCCAAGTCCCAGCTCCCCGACCTGTAAGCTGGTTGACCCCGAGCAAGTTAATCAGCCTCTCTGAGCTTCGGTTTCCTCTTGGGTAAGACACAGATGTGTTGGGCTGCAAGTGAGAGAAAACCCAATTCAACTCGCGGGAGGTTTCGGAGGAAGGGCCGCCTCCAAGTAAGATCCATGGGCTCAAACGGTTCCAAGGACCCAGGTTTTCCATCTTTGCACTTGGCCTTCTGCAAAGTCCAGCTTTCCTCTAAGGCTCACTTGCCCTGTGGTCCCACAAGCGTTGCCCCGAGCTGCTGTGTCTCAGCCTTGCCAGTTTCTACAGGAAGAACCTTTGTCCCAGGAAAAATCCCGGGAGTCCCTCTGCCCTGGACCAACCTTCGGCCAAGGTCACCTGACTCCATTCCCTGGAGCCAGGACAGAGTCAGCTCCCCTAGAACAGCAGAGATCTCTCCTAGGAGCATGGGGGCTTCCAGGTAGGGTGGGAGAGAAAGGGATGCCAGGGGGGTCACTGGTACCCATGGGGCAGTCATTGTGGGGATTAGAGATCCCACGTGTGGCACCCTCCTCAAGAGGCCACTATTCATTTATTTTTTTTAATAAAAAAAATTTTTTTTAATGGTTATCTTTATTTTTGAGACATAGAGAGACAGAGCAGGAGCAGGGAGGGGCAGAGAGAGAAGGAGACACAGAATCGGAAGCAGGCTCCAGGCTCCGAGATGTCAACATAGAGCCCGACGTGGGGCTCGAACTCACAAACCACGAGATCATGACCTGAGCTGAAGTCAGACGCTCAACCGACTGAGCCACCCAGGAGCCACCCCCCCCCT